TTAGGTCTCCTTCTATGTGCTCTCACAGTATCCTCAATTATCCCTAATTAGGCATTCATCATACTATATCATAAGAATGTAGGCACCCTAAGGGCAAGGGCAGTGTCAGTCTTATTCATTACTGCATCCCTAGTACCTAATATAATGGTTGGCACATATTAAATAACTAACATCATTTAAATAGATGTTTTAAACCAGAAGCCAATTTTTCAAAATACAATTACGGTCAAAAGTGTCATAAGGTATATTAGTAGAAACTAAATAAAATTTGCAAATTTGTACAATTCTGGAAATCCAACTTAATGGAATTAAGTCCAGTTTACTAGAAATTGCATTTGACATTACATCATTATTAGTTTTCCCATTTCATACTTCACCCCAAATGAATGGAGATGAGCGAGAAAACATCTTAACAAATAATTCATCCTATTGTACTTTATTACTGAGAAAATCATTTCAGTATGAAGACAGAGGTAATATATCTTATTTCTTGAGTTGATAATGACAAGGAGATAAAAATGGTAATAAACCACACAGTCATAGAAAATGTTAGAGATGGCAAACAGTACAGTACCATGCGAAGTTAGATATCATTAACAAAATAAAGCTAGAAAAATAAAACAAATGGTAAAACTTAAACAACACATTTTTAAACAACAATATATCAAAGAAGAAATCACCAGGGAAATTAGGAAGTACTTCAAGACGAATGAAAATGAAAACACAACATACCAAAACTTATGAGACACGGTAAAACCAGTGATAAGGAAGAAATTTGTAATTATAAATGCTCACGTTAAAAACAAGAAAGATCTCAGACAACCCAAGTTTACAACTTAAGAAACTAGGACAAAACAAGAACAAATTAAACCCAAAACTGGCAAAAGAAAGGAAATATTAAAGCATAGGTTAATTAAGTAGAGAACAGAAAAACAACAGAGAAAATTCATGACACCAAAAGTTGGTTCTTTGAAAAGATCAAAAAAATTGACAATCCTTTAGTTAGATCAACTAAGAAAAAAGAAAAAGATTCAAATTACTAAAATCAGAAATTATAGTGTGGACCTTACTACCAATTCTAGAGAAATACAAAGGATCATAAAGGAGCACTAAGAAAAAATTGTACACCAACAAACTTGATAATCTAGATAAAATGGACAAATTTTCTAGAAAAACAAAACCTACTAAGACTAAGATAAAAAATAGAAAGTCTAAATAGACATATTACTAGTAAGGAGACTGAATCAGTAATCAAAAGTATCCTGACAAAAAAAAGTGCCGGACCTTAACGATGGCTTTACTGGTGAATTCTACCAAACATTTAAAGAACTAACGCCAATCTTTTTCAAACTTTTCCAAAAAAAAATTCCACAGGAGAGAATACTTCCTATCTCATTCACTAAGCCAGTACTACTCATATGAAAACCAGGCAAAGACACTACAAGAAAACTACAGACCAATTATCCCTTTTGAACATTCATGCAAAACATCCTCAACAAAATACTAGCCAACAGAATTCAGTAGCATATTGAAAGGATTATACACCGTGACCAAGTGGGACTTATTCCTGGAGTGCAAGGATGTTTCAACATATGAAAATTGATCACTGTTAGGAAAAACACCACATGATCACCTCACTTAATTCAGAAAAAGCATTTCACAAAATTCAACACTTTTTCGTAATTAAAAAAGAATAAAACTCAACACACTGGAAAGAGGAAAGTACCTTAACACAGTAAAAAATATATTTGAAAAAACCCACAGCAAACATACTCAATGGTGAAAGGCAAAGCTTTTCCTTTAGATCAAGAACAAGAATGCCCACTTTCACCACTTCCATTCAACTTAGTACTGGAAGTTTGAGTCTGAGCAATTAGGTAAAAAAAAAAAAAAAAAGGGCAGTAAAATGCATCCAAATTTAAAAGGAAGAAATACAATGATCTCTTTTTCCAGATAACATTATCTTAAATATGGAAAACCCTAAAATCCCACAACAAACTGTTAGAGCTAATAAATGAATTCAGGAAAATAATAGGATACAAAGTCAATACACAAAAACCAGATATATTTCTACATATTAACAATGTACAATCTGAAAAGAAAATAACTAAAATAATTCTATGAATAAAATACTTAGAAACTAACCAAGGAAATGAAAGACTTGTACAATGAAAACTATAAAACACTGGTGAAAGAAATTAAAGACGACAGGCCTGAGTGGTGGTGTTCAGTGGGTTGGGCATCATCCCACAGACTGAAGGGTGAGGTCCCACTTGGGGCACATGCGAGAGGCAACCAATCCATGTTTCTCTCTCACATCACTGTTTATCTTCCTCTTTCTCCCTCCCTTCCTGTCTCTACAAATAAATTAATCAAAGCTTTAAAAAAAAGAGAGATATACTTCAAACTTTAAAAAAAAAAAATTTAAAGACAACATAAATAAATAGAAACACATCCCATGTCCATGGATTGGAAAATTTATATTAGGATGTCAATTACTATCTAAAGCAATCTAGATTCAATGCAATCCCTATCAAAATCCCAATGATGTTTTTTGATGTAATAAAAAAACAAATTCTAAAACTCATATGGAATCTCAAGGGACCCCAAATAGCTAAAACAATCTTGAAAAAGAAGGACAAAAATGAAGGGTTCATACTTACTGCTTTCAAAAGTTAACAACAAAGCTACAGTCATAAAAACAGAACGGCATTGGCATAAAGACGGACATATACATCAATGGACTAGCACAGAAATAAACCCTCACATGTATGGTCAAATGATTTCTGACAAGGGTGCGAAGACCATTCAATGGGGAAAGGGTAGTCTTTTGAACAAATGGTGCTGGGAAAATTGGATATCCACATAAAAAAAAAAATGAAGTTGAACCTTTACATAACCACATGTAAAAATTACCTCAGAATGCAAGGACCTAAATGTAAGAATGTGAGACTTAAAAAAAATAAAACTTAATAGAGCCGTGGCTGGTGTGGTTCAGTGGACTGATTTGCTAGCCTGCAAACTAAAAGGTCACTAGTTCGATTCCCAGTCAGGGCACATACCTGGGTTGCAGGCCAGGCCCCAGGTTGGGGGTCTACAAGAGGCAAGCGATTGATGCCTCTCTCCCTCTCTTTCTCCCTCCTTCTTTCACTGTCTAAAAGTAAATAAAATAGCCCTGGCTGGTGTCACTCAGTGGACAGAGTGCTGGCCTGTGAACCAAAGGATATAGCTGGTTCAGTTCCCAGTCAGGGCATATGCCTGGGTTGTGGGCCAGGTCCCCAGTAGGGGGCACTCGAGAGGCAACCACACATTAATGTTTCTCTCCATCTCTTTCTCCCTCCCCCTCTCTAAAAATAAATAAAAATCTTAAAAAAAATAAAAATAAAATAAATTCTTAGAAGAAAACACAGGACAAAAACTTCATTACACTGGACTGGACATTGATTCCTTGTACATGATCCAAAAGGTACAATAAAAGAAAAAAATAAACAAATTGGGCTCTTATGAAAATTTTATAATTTTGTACACCAAAAGACAGTATGAATGGAGTAAAAAGGCCACCCACAGAATGGGAGAAAATATTTCCAAATCATTTATCTCCTAAGGGGTTAATATCTACATTTTATAGAGAACTCCTAAAATTCAGCAACCAAAAAAAAAAAAAAAAACCCACTATTAAAAATGGACAAAGGATTTAAACATACATTTCTCCAAAGAAGGTATGCAGATGGCTGCTAAGCACATGAAAATATGCTCAACATCACTGACAGAGAAACAAAACTATAACAAGATACCACCTCACATCTAAGATGCTTACTATCAAAAATAAAAATTTAAAAAGAAAATAGAAAGCGTTGGCAAGGATGTTGAGAAACTGTACACTGTTGGTGAGAATGTAAAATGCTGTAGCTACTATGGAAAATTGTATGGCAGTTCCTTAAAAAATTAAAAATAGAATTACCATATGACCAGCAATTCCATTAACGCACATATACTCAAAAGAAAGGAAAACAAGGTCTTGAAGAGATATTAGACACTCATGTTCATAGCAGAATTATTCACAGTAGCCAAAATTTGGAAGCCAAGTGTCCACTGATGAATGAACAGATAAGCAAAATGTGGTATATACATATAATGGGTTATTATTAAACCTTTAAAAAATTCCTTTAAGGAAATTCTGACACATGCTACAACTTGGATGATCCTTGAGGACACTGTGCTAAGTGAAATAAACCAGTCACAAAAAGACAAATACTTTATAATTCCACTTATGAGGCACTTGAACCATAGAGACAAAAAGTAGAATGATGATTTCCAGGGGCGGGAGTAAAAAGGAAATGGTACTTATTGTTTAACGGGTATAGAGTTTCTGTTTACAAGATCAAAAGAGCTATGAAGATGGATGGTGGTGACGGTTGTATAACAATGTGAACATACATAAAGACGCTCAACAGCAAAAATTTAAAATTGGTTAAACTAGTAAATTTTGTTATAAGTTTTTGCACAATAAAAATCTTTAAAGTAAATTATCATAAAATAACCAGCTATAATTTTTTAAAAAAGGATTTTGCCAAAAATAGATTAGAAAGCAGGATGTTCACATTGCAAAACACTTAAAAAATCTGCGTATATCCAACAGGTCTTGGTTTTTAAATTAGTGAACATATAAACTTTGATTATCAATTCCCTTATAACTTTATGTACAAACACTGGGTGTTCTAAATAAAAATATTTGGAAAAATGATTCTTTTTCTTACATGCTAAAATTTCCTATTTAAGCTTAGTCCCTATAATTATAAGCTTTCAAAGTAGCATGCTAGAAGCTAGCCACAACGATTAGGTCCTAGAGAAATGGAGGGGTTTTTTGTCCTCAAAGGCTATGAAACAAACTAAAGTTAAAAATCTCAAAATACTGAAGTCTTTTTGACATTTACATTGTCCTACTGGACTGAACAGAGAAGCCACGTAACAGGTGTTTTATAGACTAAAAGAATTCTTACCCGGAAGATTACCCTTTGAAATGGTATCTGTATCCAAATTGTAGGTGTCCTGGAGACGCAACAGGGCTTTGGCTGCCCCAACCTGATCTTCGTCATTGGGAAAGTACTGTCTCTGAATTGTTAGGTTTGAGATAAAGCCTTGAAATAAGGAAATAAGAGGGGGAAGACTTTAGAACCTCAGAGACTTCAAATTTCCAGTATAGTTTTTACAAAGATATTTTTAAATTGGTTTTATTATCATTTTCTACCATACTATGTTCCACATGCTCAATGAGAAAAAATTAAATACACTGAATGCAACTTGACATACCTCTAACTTACTCTATTTTCCCAAACCTTTTCTGTTGCTTAATCTGAGGTTGCTGCATAAATTATGCCTGTATTAGTAGATACAGATAAATTATGTCTATATGCATTAGTAAAGATCAACTAACATAATAATTGAGCTTTTAGTTATATAACATAGCCTCCGCTAAGTCTGAAAAATGAACAGATTATTGTATTTGAAAATATTTATTGGCAACCAACTATATTTTCAGGTAACAGATGGTAAGTAAAATCTATGCCCTTAAATCCTGTTTTTTTTTCTTTCATGTGCCACACATTATATAAATATGTAAATATATAAAGCTTGGTGAAATTCTTTAAGGGGAAGAAGAGTTATTAATTATATATTTAAGATTATCGGCCCTGGCTGGTGTGGCTCAGTGGATTGAGTACCAGCCTATGAACCGAAAGGTCATCAGTTCAATTCCCAGTCAGAGCACATGCCTGGGTTGCAGGCCAGGTCCCGCACTGGGGGCGTGAGAGGCAACCTATCCCTGTTTCTCACACATTATTTCTCTCCCTCTCTTTCTCCCTCCATTCCCCTCTCTCTAAAAGTAAATAAATAAAATCTATTTTATAAAAAGATTGTTGCATTCATATTTTCAAAAAGATTAAGTAATCTCATTTATTAAAATAAATTTAGATCTAATTATTGAATATAGTGTTCATCAATCAAGATTTGCTCCATATAAAAATTTTATTTTTAAAACTTGGTACATAAAATATATCAAAAATCAAACTAATAAATTAATTACTGGTAACTATATAACCCTTAAGGAGAATGGATGCTAAATACTCCTTAAGGACCCAAAAAGATGAAAGTGATTTAAATTTTTAAAAATATGTCATCATTTGCCAATAAAAGTTTGGTATGAGATTTCCCTTCCCTCTTATTTACTTACCTACTTTTTTGATCAGTAAAGGGCTATGCATTTTTTACATTAATGAAAATGTAAAAATGAACAACTTAGCTGGAAAAAGGCTAAAGGTCATGTCAAGCTTTTTTTTTTTTTTTTTTTAGTTTTAAGACCAACTCTCAGTCAGAATATCCACATGGAATTTTACAAGCAAGTATTATAAGTTTTACAGATGACTATAATGTTTTTCAGGTCCCAAAACAAATTTCAAGACGTTGCTTAAATCCTCTCTAATAAAAATAGGGGGGAAAAAAATATATATATATATAGTAGCTTTTGGATGACTACCACAATTAAAGTGTCAAAGTCTCAAAGTTTACCTTATAAAAGAACTCGGGTCATACAGATCATTATTTGAGAATTTTAAATGATGAATGAACATGTAGGTGTATACATATTTATATATGTGTATATACACACATACAACCTTTAAAATGTTGTCATGGTGTTATATATGAGAGCAAATAATCACAGGTATTCTCCTCTCATTTTGAAGAAGTATTCATAATGCTTGCCTTAATTTTTCTTTTCAAGGTTTCCTATCCTATGCAAAATAGTTTAGTTTACATAACAATTTCATTTACAAAGTTAGCTCAAGTCTCTCCCCCCTCTCTCTCAAAACAACTTTTTTTCATCTTGGAATTTCATCTGCATAGCTGGCTCAATCCTCTCCTTCTCTTTAAAAAAAAATTTTTTTAAATACCATATGATTTCACTCATATGTGGAATCTAATAAACAAACTGAACTAAAAGCAAAATAGAGACAGACTCCTGGATACAGTACAGGCTGACAGTTCTGGGGTGAGGGTATTAGAGAGTGGAGGAATCAAAAGGACTCGTGGACATGGACAACAGTGTGGTGATTGTGGGTAGAGGGAAGGTATAAAGGGGATAAATGGTAATAGAAAAAATACAATAAAAAATAAATCTACAAAAATTTTTTTTGCCACCTTCAGTCATTAATAGATATTTGAGCCTGTACTATGTACTAACCCAAATCCCTTTGCTTCCTTAAACTTCAGACTTAGTTTTCTGTGTCTGTTATTAAAATACCTTAAACATCTCAGTACTCCAATTACAATTTATTTTTTAAATTACAGACATTCATTATCACTGTTTTCAGCCTCAGTTTTTACATTTGTTGTCTACATTAAGCAAAACAATCCTAAGTTTCAAAATACTATCTAGAACACCGCTAACATTTTTCCTAATATTACCAATCCCAACTCCCAATACATTAAAAACTGATTAGAAAATAAAGTTTACCTCAAATTTCTTTTATGATAAGCACAATTACAAAACCACCATTAACACTGGAGTTCTTCAATTATATGCAACTACAGTTCATGATAAAGTAAATTTTTGAAGCTTTATTCCAGATCAATCAAATCCTTTAATACAATTAATATAATGTGCTGACTTTATGAATATATTTTTAAAAAGATAAATAGTCCTTTCAATGTAAAGGAAAAGAAGAGACCTTGCTCTAGCATGGAGTCAAAGCCAACTCCCATAAATTTTTACAGTCTGAAGGTAATCCTAAAATGAAAATGACTACCCTCAGAAATCAAGCTATATGCCAAATAATCAATTCACATTCATAGACTTCAAAGCAAAAAGCAGTAGTGTTAGTCACCAATAACAGAAATTACTTTTTTTTGACAATAAAGTTTTATTTTTAATTCCTTGTTTCTAGTTTTTATTCATCTTTTTTTTTAATCAAGAAATTTGGGATCTAGAATAAACTAACTGATCAAACTAAACACACCCCAGAAATAATTCAGTTACAACAGTGAACACTTGATGTTTTGGGAACTGAGTATATCACTACTTTTGGCATTTCTACTGGAGGGAGCAATACTGCCTTACTTTTTTGGGCTCATTTTCTTACCATCTGACTTACCATCTGACATATCCTTAAGGACTAGATTTTCCAACTCGCTCCACTCAGTGTTCAAACGTTTCACTAACTTGAAGGCATTTACAGGGTGCCCAACAAATCCTTCAGGATCTTTTGTGGCTGTGCTAGTTAGCCGATCTAACTTCTCTGCCCATCTATACATGTAAGACATAATGAGGAAAATACAATTTAGTAAAGCGCTCAAAAAAAGAAACTAGATTAGAGGTTTTTGAGTTAGAACAGTATCTAAAAATTCTTTTTAAAGGTAAAATTATGAAAGTTTTTTAAATAGCAAAATGTTCTTATGGATAAAATCTAGCATGGCAGAATCAAAATGTAACTACAAGACTTTTTCCTTTAGTTTTTTTTTCTCCCAAATAGTTACAGTAAATGAAACTTATCTTAGTAAAAGTTGTAATTGGATCCGTCTAGTAATAGTCTAAAAATTCATTTCCACAGAGGTCCTTAAAGCCAAATAACTGATTATTGCAAAGTACAAATTAGCCCAATCCAAATTCATTATATGTCCATTTAAATCAAACTCACATCAAAGTTTTACATTCATTACAAAAAAAAGATGAGCACTTAGCTACTCATTAAACAAAAGATAGAAATTCTCAGGTCAGGATTAAGTAGAAACCCAAGTCAATTAAAAATAAATTACCCTTTGAGGAAAAACTATATAATTAAATGATAATAACCATACTTATCACTGTAATCTCTAGAATGGAACCATAGGAGTGAAAAATAGATACATTCAGGAAATTGCTCCAGAAAGTGTCTTGATTAAAGAGGTTAGAGGACAGAAGATATTAACAACCTTTTCTTTTTTTAATTTTCAGTCAACAACCATATCCATTTATATTCTTATCTCAACCCATGTTCTTCCATGTGAACTCTTGGCCTAGGCCTAACTCTTGTTTTCTGTGCTCCTATTTTAGCCATTTCAGCTGGCTTTTTAAGGCTAAGAGATGGCTTTCCTTTCCACTCAATGTTTTAGCTCTATAAATAAAATAAGTGGAGTCAGAGTCATAAAAAATAAACACTTTTCTTACTTTTTTATTTGTTCTAATTTGTCTTCTTCTGCCTTAATATAGTCTTTCAGGGAAGTCACCAGATCTTTCTCGGTATAAATCAAATCAGTCATCTGACCTTAAAGGAGGAGAAGGAAAAGATTATCAAATACCCATACTCATCAACACAAGTATTTTAACTAATTTAAGAATAAACAAGAATATTTCTTGCTATGAAACAGTTTAATTAGCATGAATCAGACATGTTGGAGAGAGCATATTTTTCTTCCTTTTTTTAACTGGATAAATACAAATAAAGCCAAAAATGTTTCTACTCATGTGTTCCAATTCTAATTTTCAAGCTACTTAATTTACAAGCTCGGACTGTATTAGCAAATTGTCTTTCATCTAAAAATATAACAACACTACCCTCCAAGGATCAGTATTTCTTCTTGACTCCAACTCCCCCCACACAATTTATTTTCTAAAAATTCATTTCCACAGAGGTCCTTAAAGCCAAATAACTGATTATTGCAAAGTACAAATTAGCCCAATCCAAATTCATTTATATGTCCATTTAAATCAAACTCACATCAAACTCACACCTAATTTAAATATAAAATTAGAATTATATTTTTATTCCATAAATAAAAAAACTACACTAACAAAAAGTATTATTCACAACTGAAAATCAAATAATCCATATTTATTTTTCATGGGAATGAGAGAATTAATCATTTTAGATCCTGACATTAAGTGTCATAAATACAATACCTGTGTTTTAGTTAGTTCTACACAATTACACAAGGGTAAAGCTGGGCAACAAAATGAAGGAAAACATCTCATTCAAAACAGATGAAATACGCATATAGGAAAATATAAAAAGATACACATCAAAATATGAGGAATATTTCTGGGGGGAAGAGGGCATGCAGGTGTCTTATCCTAAGTATTTCTGATTTTTTCACTTTAAACAACAAACTACTTTTACAGTACTTTGTAGATTTTTAAAAATTATAATGTAGGAAAAAATAAATTGTGTTCACCGTAGACTCTTAAATGAAAAAGCAGGCTATGAAATAATGTGCAATATATTATACATGTGTATCTGTGTATTAAGAAAGAATAAGTGTATGCATTAAATTATTTGCTGGGTGGAACCAAGAATAGAGAATTTTCTTTGGCATGCTTTCTTAAATTTTCATAAGTTTCTAACCTGTAAATGTTTTGCTTTTGTAATCAGAAAAAATATTTAGAAAAAAACAAATTGAATTTAAAAATGAGGATGTCTTTTAGAATACAGTGTATTTTTTACTAACTTAAAACACCAAAAAATAAAAAATTTTAAATACAAAAACAATACAAATCAAGAAAGAGTTAAGACTTACCAATTGAAGTAAAAAAGCCTGGATGGGCCAAAGACTGGGGAAGTAGAATCCCTACAATTAAAATACACCGGATCATCTTGGAAGTCTTTATTTTACAGGTTCACACACCTACAAGAAAAATATGGTCTTATGAAAAATTATTAAAAGGCAGAGTAGGAAAATTTTCTAACTTATTTTTCCTACAAACAAAAATGTAAGTCAGACCCCAAGGTTGCCTGTGGAACTTCTAATTCTTGTAAATTGATTAATTACCTAACAAGAGCCACTTTTGTACTTTTCATAATTATAGTAATCTTGGCATTTCATGATTAAAAAAAACATGTTTATTATCAGCTGATAATTTGTGCTTAACAATTCAACCTGAGGTTATTTTCTCCTTAATCACTAACTACCACAATTAGAGTAACTGGAGAGTAGTACTGCTTTCATATTGCCTGAAAAATAACTTTTCTGTGATCCAGGGCTAAACCATCAATTTCCCATAAAAATACACTGCTTTATTAAAGTGACCTAATTTAAATATTACCAAAATACACTCTAAAATGTTAGAATATGTTTTACAGAGAAAAATGTTTCAGAACTTTCTGATCAATCCTTTAAGTTCCAACTTGCTCCATATTTTCCCTATGTGGCTTTAAATTTTAAAGGAAGTTCAATTAACTTTTTGGGGGGGGTGATGAAATGTTCTAAAACTGACTGGTGACTGATGGTGAAAGAACACTGTGAAAGTACTAAAACCCACTGAATCATGAACATTAAATGGGTGATTTGTAGGCTATATGAATTACACCTCAATGGAGCTATTTTTTAAAAGTTGTACAGAACCCAAAAGGAATAAATAGCCCTGTTGATTTAAGCTAGTAATTTCTCTTAAAGGACTCAGGGTTGAGTTTCTTTATCTTATCTCCTGTGTTCTATGTAAAGAATCCCCAGCCTAGTACTTAGATGTAGTGTGTTTTTTGTGTGTGTGTTTTTTTTTTTAACCTGGCAGCAAAGTCCTTCTGTCTTTTCTTTGTCCCCCAGTAGTGCTGTCTTTCTAGAATATATTCTTCATGGTGGATGCAGATATCAGTTAAGCAGCAGAAAGATTTTATCCTGCTTTCCCTAAATGCCCTGCTAGTATTCTTCTCGTGTTCCTTCTCCATCACATACATGGATTTTAATTCCTCCTTAATACCTTACAAAAGAGTAACTTACCGTTAAAGTATCATTTGCCCAGTAACAGGCCACTGACTACTCTGATCTGTCACCCTAGTCCTCTTTTTGCACACACCTCTGTCTGACTCTTCCCAAATGATTTCACCTAAACCTGTGGGTTCAAATCCACACTGGAAAGCTCCCAATTACAAAAACAAAACAAAACAAAACAAAACCCCACTTTCTTAACTTGAATCTCAATAAAATATCACCACAGAAACTGACATTCTGGAAGTATTCCAAAGTCTCCTCCTCGAGTTTGCTGCAAACTTCCAGATACTTCCAGAATCACACAGTAGTAAAATACACTCCTCTCTTGGCTGCTTTACAGTAACTCTTTGGGAAAGCTTCTAGAATGTAGCAGATGCAGACACTTCCTCTCCTGGGCTCCTGCCAAAGCACAAGGCTTATTCAAAATCCTGGACTGCATGAAATGTCTAGAATCTTTTCACTATAAACGGGTCTCTGCCATAATTTCCTTCATGGACAAATGTTATTTCCAGAAAATACAAATGTTTTTGCTGTACTAACAGCAGGCTAATCAGAAATGTTTAACTCATGAGAAAGTTTAGATTTGCCAGATAAGAAGTTATCATTTTTTCATTGCTAAAATATATTGTTACTAAAGTTTCCTTGTCATCTTTCTTCATCCTTAAACCTCATAATGAATCAAGAACCATTAGCCTACAGAAATTACTAAAAAGAAGCTTGAAAATTGCATTTTAAGAATGATAGAGCTTATATAAAAATTTTAAAATATAAAAAAATAAAGATATGAAAAATAACTGTACCTTTACCTTGTATCATGATGCAAAATAAATTCTAGATGGATTAAAGAGTTATAATCAATAAATATAAAATAACAGCAAAAAAGTTATTGGATCTTTCAAAGGAGAGAATTTCTAAACTTAAAAATGATAAAAACAACTTATTGAAAGCCATATGGGATTTAAATAGACAAAATAATTTAGGTTTATATATATTTTAAAAAACCCCAAAACCTAAACTACTAACTGGTAAACTAAAGAAAATAGAGCTCACTTAAGGTATTCACACAAATCAATTAGATGTTAATAGGTAAGTGGATTAAAAATGTAGAAAGTCACAAAAGATAGATAACTAAACAAAAAACTCAGTAATCAAGGACACAAAAAACTGAAATAAGATAGTTACTTTCTGCCCTTCAAACAATTTAACAAATTATCAATTAAAAATATCTAATGTTGGTATTCTGTCAAGAAATTTAAAATGAACATATCTTTTAAAGAATGAATGTAAATTTTAAAAAAAAGATTTGAAAATTAACATCAACTCTCATTCATTACTTGTGGGAAGGCAAAATGGTATGGCACTTTGGAAGACAGTTTGGCAGTTTCTTAAAAATTTAACATACTTTTAGCATAAAATCCAGCAATCATGATCCTTGGTATTTACTCAAGGCAGATGAAAATATATGTCCACATAAAAACCAGCACATAGATGTTTACAGCACCTTAATTCACAATGGCCAAAACTTAGAAGCAACTAAGGTGGCCTTCAGCAGCTGAATGGATAAACTGTGGTACATCCAGACAATGGAATATTATTCATTGCTAAAAAGAAATGAACTATCAAGCCATGAAAATACATGCAGGAACCTTAAATTCATATTATTTGGTTAAAGAAGCCAATCTGAAAAGGCTATATACTGTATGATTCCAAGTATATGACATTCTGGAAAATGCAAAACTATTAAGACAGTAAAAAGATCATTATGTGTTGGCAGTGAATAGACGGAGCAGAGAGGATTTTTAGGGCAGTGAAAACATTCCATGTGAAAACATGATAAATACACATCAATTATACATTTGTCCAAATCCAGAGAATATATAACACCTAGAGTGAAGGGGTAATGTAAACTATGAGCTTTGGGCAATTAATGATATATCAACATGGATTAATCAATTATAACAAATGTACCGCCTGATGGAAGATGTTGAGGTTATGCATGTGTGGGGGAAGGGAATACCTGTGAAATCTGTACCATCTCAGTTTTTCTGTGAACCTAAAACTGCTCTAAATCCAAGAAGACTACAAATGGCCAACAGACATATGAAAAGATGTTCAACTTTACTACCTATTAAGGAAATGAAAATCAAAACTACAATGAGATAATCCCTCATATTGGTTGAAATGTCTATTATCAACAAGACAGGCAGTAACAAGTGATGGAGAGGTTGTGGAGAAAAGGGAACCCTCATTCACTGCTGGTGGGAATGTAGACTGGTACAGCCACTATGGAAAAAAACAGTCTGGCAAGTCCTCAAAAAATCAAGAATAGAGTTACCATATGACCCAGCAATCCCTCTCCTGGGTATCTACTCAGAAAACTTGATAACATGTATTCACAAAGAGATATGCACTCCTATGTTCACTGCAGCATTATTCACAGTGGCCGAGGCATGGAGACAACCAAAGTGCCCTGTGAGAGAGGACCAGAATAAAGAAGACGCAGCACATATACACAATGAAATACTACTAAGCCATAAGAAAAGGCACTGCCATTTGTGACAATGTGGGTGTACCTTGAGAATATTAAGAAGTGAAATAAGTCAACCAGAAAAAGCGGAGAACCATATGATTTCACTCCTATGTGGAATATAAAACTGACACTTGTGGATACAGACAGCAGTTTGGCGGTTACCAGAGTGAAGGGGGTGCTGCCTAGTATACGGTGACAGAAATGGTTTGACTTTGGGTGGTGGGCATACAGTGCAATATACAGATATTGTATTATATCACAGAAATGTACACTTGAAATCTGTATGATCCTATTAGTCAATGTTACCCCAATAATTTAGTAAGAAATTTTTTTTAGGAAGTCTTTTAAAAAATAAATTAATATCATACAGAACCTGAATGAGATTAAGTTTCTACCACTCTGACAGAAAGTTATAAATAAATATTGATCAAAAAAAGTTTTAATTAACATAGTATGATCACAACTATGCAAGAAAACATACAGAGAAAATGTGCTAAAATGAAGTTGTCTTTGGACAGAAGAACACTAGGTGATTTTTCCTATTTCTCTATTTTCCAGCATTCCAGGGTATATTAATTTTTTTAAACAAGGTTTTATTTATTTATTTATTTAGAGAGGAAGGGAGGGAGAAAGAGAAGGAGAGACATATCAATCAGCTGCCTTTCCTACATGCCCCGTATGGGGACAAATCCACAACCCAGGCATGTGCCCTGACTGGGAACCGAACTGACAACCTTTCATTTACTTTGCAAAAATAACGTCCAACTGAGCCACAACTGTTAGGGCAGTATATTACTTTTTTTTTTTTTTTAAGATTTTGTTTATTTATTTTTAGAGAGAGGGGAAGGGAAGGAGAAAAAAAGGGAACATCAATGTGTGGTAACCTCTTGTTCGCCCCTTACTGGGCACCTGGCCCACAACCCAGACATGTGCCCTGACTAGGACTCTAACCAGCAACTTTTTGGTTTACAGGCCTGTGCTCAATCCACTGAGCTACACCACAAATGAAAAAGTCCTGCATAGACAAGCATTTCCAAACTCCTTACTCCTGATTCTTCCCATTATTGCTTTGAATCTGTGAGCTACCCCAGTAATAATCTTCCAACCCAGCTAAGGGAGTCTATAAATTCCTCCCGCTTTTTTTTTTTTTTTGTCCAAGCACCAATGATGGCTTGCTCTGAGTCCCAGGAGCCCCTCTTGCATTGGTCAGATTGGCTTGACCCTTATAAATCCAGGACTTGGAACAGTTGGGGCAGAGGACGTAGGGCTGTTCCTATTTTGTTCTGTAATTAGCGCTCACCCAAAACATTATGTAAAGCTGAGGAGGCACCAAGGCTGTTCCTCCTCCTCCTCCCTTTACACAGCGCCCCCACAACAGGATTTCTGTCACTTAAAATAGGAATTTCTGACCCATATAGCATTACTCCAAACTGCCATGCCAACCTAAGTTAGTTAATAAAAATAAAGACAGCGTTGTATAGCAGTGGTTATCACACTTTAGCTATACTTGAATCACCTAAAGGTCTGAGGTGTCTAGGTAATTTACTCAACTTCTCAGGTGATACTGATGCTGCTGGTCTGGGATCAAACTTTGAGAAACACTGGGTGCAAACATCTCTTCAAATCACACAAAAGGTGTTCTCTGTCTTTAACACAGATTTTACTTCAACTTATTTTTTGAAAAAAAAATATTGAATTTCTAATTACTCTAAGGAATTGCTCTGTTAATCTGTTTTAATACTGTCTTACCCACATTCTTTCAGAAACCTTAAGTGACATATGACATAAGTATATTTTTATCAATCACTGTTTTTTAAAACATGATTTCTTACTAATGAAGTCTCACTTCCATTTATTTCCACCTTCATTCAGTTAGCATCCTGCAAAGCAAATCATATTTATAAGCAGCTATGACCCTAATATCCCAAAGACATTAGGGTTTTATCAAAAATCTTAAGTCATAAAATGTCTCCTGTTCTAAATCCTCAAACATGCTTGCAACAGAACTGAAATGGGTTTAAGAGTATGCAATCTCCTTTAAAAGAAAGGTAAATCTCAGACAGCTCAGACACCTGAGAAGACTTGATGAAAGAAGAAGAAAGAAAATAGAAAGAAGGAAGGAGGGAAGGGAGGGAGGGAGGAGAGGGGGTTGAGAGAGATGAGAGAGAGAGAAAAGGAAGGAAGGAAGGAAGGAAGGAAGGAAGGAAGGAAGGAAGGAAGGAAGGAAGGAAGGAAGGAAGGAAGGAAGGAAGGAAGGAAGAAGGAGGAAAGAAAGAAAAAGAAAGAAGAAAGAAAAGAAAGAAGAGAAGAGAGAGAGAAGGGGAGGGGAGAGGAGGGGAGAGGAGGGGAGAGGAGGGGAGGAGGAAAAGAGAGAAGGGAAAAAGGAAAGAAGAGAAAGCCAAAGAGTCCAAGATACAAAGATAAATTCATACTGGAATAAAATTTAGTGCTGAAACAGTATGGATAATATTACTGATAATATTTTGTTCTTCACTGGATAGTAAGTTCATGAGTGTTTATTATCTAATTTTTATAACAAATGTGTATTACATATAATGTTTAATATACATGAATCTTATGTTTTAAAAACTGTAAGAAAAAAATGGTATGGAAAAAATCTTCCTGGGAAATTTATTCTCAGGTAGGCCTCGATAAAAATAAACTGCAAAGTGTATTATTGATCCAAAACTTTCCTACAGCCTTTCTTCCAGGAAAGTCCAGTCCGCATACACTCACAGGTCAATAAAACCTGGGAACAGATTTTAAAACAGTCCTACTACATTGTAAATATTTACAATTTTGATTTGTCAGAATTCATTGAATTGTATGCACAAGTTATTCAATGAGTTACTCGAACAGAGCATCTGGC